ATAGCATTGAGTGGCCACCCCACCCCAGATCTCTCAGCACCCCAACTCAATGTGGGGAACCAGTCTGGGGGTTGCTGAGTGGGTGGGTGTCTCACTGAGCAGAGACGGGTGCTGGGTGGGCTTGGGAAGTTCGGCTGGGCAGAGACAGTATGGGTGGGGCTGTGCCCAGGGAAGCGGCAGGGCTCAGGCTGCCTGTGGCTCTGGCTGCCCTAGACTTCTGGCCACCACTCGCTGTCATGATACTGGGGCAGAGGGCAGGCAAAGTGGCCACCAGGAAAGAGCCAACCGGCCCAGGGCCCCAGACACCACTGTCCAGGTGTGCGCCCATCCCTACCCACCTGTGCCACAGGCATAAAACAGGATGGCTGGCCAAGGGACTGTGCAGGACTCAGGCCCCCAGCCTCAGTTTCCCCACTGAGAAAGGTGGGTTGATCACAGGGCACCTGCTCAGAAGGGTCAGGCAGGAATCTCTGAGGGTCTCGGCGGACCCAGGTCATTTGAGCTCAGGGAGGGTCCACTCACTGGTCTTCCAGCTCACACCAGGGCTCAGGCAGGCTGGGACGTCAGATCCTCCAGACTGTGGGCCCTCAGAAAGGGGCAAGCCTCACCACTGCTGAGGCCACCAGGGGGGCCCGCAGCCTGGGCCGTCTGGGGGCCCGCAGCCTAGGCTCTCAGAAAGCAGACGTGTTTACTAGGTATGGATTTCCTGCCCTAGAATTTTCTGAATTAATCAAGAAGGAGAAGACTCCAAAGAAGAAGTAATACCCTGACCGGCCCTGGACCAGCGAGAGGTCCCTGTAGGGCTGTGTGGGGTGAGCATGTGCCCCACTGGACATTCACGGAGGAGACCAAGGGTAGACACAGCCTGTTCCAGGAAAGTGGAAGAAACAGAGCTCTAAACAAATGCGGTGCCGCTGCCCGTGTGTCTGTGAATGCCTCCCTGCGCCTGGGAGCCGCCGGAACGCGCTGGGGGCTGGTGGGGAATGGGCAGATGGGCGGGCAGGTGTCCAGGCCTCCCCTCCCCTGGTCTCACCTCACTGGGGGCACTGGGAGGGAGGTCCCCCCAGCCCTGGGCTGCCTGGGTCTGCCCTCTCTCTTAGCCTGGTGCTTCTTGGACCCAGAACCCTGAAGGGCCCCCTCCTGTGGGCCCTGGGTCTGTCCTGTGGCCACCTGGCCCCACACCCCCAGCTCACACAGCAGATGTGTGGACATGTGTGGGGATTCCTGCAGCCCAGGGCGAGTGAGGCCCAGAGTGCTCTGCAGGTGTCCTTGGCTGCCCCCAGGGCCAGAGCGCACAGGTGGCCGCCTCTCCTGGCCTCGCTCGACTTTGGGCTGGCTCTCCCTCTCACTCCTTGTGCTCCGTCCTCCAGGACTCCAGCTCTCCCGAGCTCTCTGGTGGGACATGGGGCCCGTCTTGGTCTTTGCCCTGCCCACACTGGCCCACCCTCTTTCAGTGTGAGCACCATTTCTATGCTGTCCCTGGCCCCCTCCTGGCCTGTCATCCGGTGTGGAGAGTGGCTTACCTCAGTGCACTCCTGAGGGCAGGTGGCCTCGTCCAGTGCCCCACCAGGAACACCCTGTCCCAGGGCCTTTCCACGGCTGTCCCCCCAGCCTGGCATGCTCCTCAGCTGCATGACAAACTCCCTCTTCTCCTTCAGTGTTTTCCTCAAATGTCACGTCCCAGTGAGGTCCCTACCCACCGTTCTGCCTTTCACTCACCCCCAGAATCTCACGCTCCCCTTGACCCGGTCTTCCCCACAGCCCCTCCCATCCTCCAATACACTATGACCTTCACAGGTGCATCACGTTTTCTTTTATGAGCAAACAAAGCATCAAAGACATGGGGTATGAGATCCCAGAAAGAGAGCGCCCCCGGAGGTGAGCGTGAGGTCCAGCCAGTGACACTGCTTAAGGGCTGAGCAGCCTCCTGGGTGTTCAGGATCTGCCAGGGAGGAGGTGCCCACATGGCAGCTCCAGCAGGGTCCCCGGGAGGAGCCAGGACACAGAGAACCCAGCCGGCCCCACAGACCTGGCCCCTCGGCCCCCTCCTCCCCGCCTGCCCACCAGAGCAAAAGTGGGTCAGCAACTCACAGCCAGACCTGGTGTGCTTATCGCCTGGGAGTGGCCTTAACGCTAAGGCCATAGAAAGGTTGGAAGTAAAAAGAGGGCAAAGAGACACCACGCGGGGCTGGGGCAGAGCGCTGGTCTGGCACATGTGAGGCACCGGATTCCATCCTCGGCACCACCCAAAAATAAATAAAACAAAGGTTTAAAAGTACTTTTAAAAAATTTAAGAAGAGAGACACATGCAGGTACCAAGGAGAGAAAGCTTTACTATCAGATGAAGGAGACTTTAAGGCAAGAAGCACTTCTAGGGTCAATGAAGAAGGACTCACGATAAAGGGCCACTGTCAGGGAATCACCATGGTTCTGAACGTCCAGCCTCCAAATGCACAACGGGAAAAATGAACACACCAGAATGAGACAGAGTTGATGCACAAATACGGTGAGAGACCTTAGCACTCGACCCCAGGGACCAAGAGACCGAGAGCCAAAGGAAGCAGTCAGCCTACAGAGGGCTCGGGAAATACGAAGGGCTGGCTCTTGGATGTAGCCAGTTCTCTGCAGCCCCCTAATGCAGAATGCACGTTCTTCTTTAAATATACAGATGTAACATCTGCCAAAGTTGACCAACAGCCAGGCCTTAAAGCATATCTCAACCAAGTGAAAGGACTGGAATAACATGGGACAGGTCCTCTGGGAAGATGAGTTAGAAATCAAAAACAAAAGTTAAAGAAAAACAACACAGTTCTAAACAGCCTGTGATTCAAAGAAACCACCACAGAAATAAGAAAATCAAACCTAACATTAACAAAAATATAACATACCAAACCTTGTGGGTACAGCTCAAGTCGTAATCTGAGGGAAATTCAGAGTCTTAAATGCATTGATTTGAAAGGAAAAGGGGCTGGTAATCAATGATCTAAGTATCCTCCCCAAGAACTTAGAAAAAAGAACAGAAAATTAAAGTTAAAGAAAAGAGAGGGAAGGAAATAAAGGGCAGGAATTCTGAAATGGTAAGTCCCTGGCTTTCTGCCCGTTACCCCCGCTAGCCTGTGGGCCCCGGAAGGTACAGTGTCTGCTCGGGTCTGCACCGCAAGGTCTAAGTCGGGCACAGAGATGGCTGCTGATGGTGTGGCCTCTCTCAGAAGGAATGTGGCTCAGACGCAGGCTCTGTGGGGAGCACGAAACCCACAAGAGCAGCAAGGTGGGCAGGGGGACTCCCTAGGCAGAGTCCACTTGAGGCTCTAAAACCTGACCTCCTAGGGCTGGGGACACAGCTCAGCTGGTAGAGTGCCTGCCTCACATGCACAAGGCCCTGGGTTCAATCCCAGCACCAAAAATAAAATAAAGAGAACACCTAAAACCTGACCTCCTGCTGTGGGAGCTCTCCTCCTCACCGAGGGACCAGACCTTACCCCACCACTCTACAGTCCAGGGACAGAACACGGCCCTGAAGATGGTAGGGAGTCTGGGCTCCTCCACCTCGACTCAGAGACCTTCTACTCAGGCACCCTATCACTTTAGGGACCCCCCATGGTCAGATCCTCCCTTCCCCCAGGAGCTCCACAGGATTACGTCCTGCTGGGTGACATCCGGCTGCCCCTGCCCCGACCTCTGGTCCACAACCTGCAGTAGGAGGAGGTGGAAGGCCCAGGCAGGAGGCTGAGGACTAACAGATGCCCCCAGAGCACAGCTGCCCCTGAGACCCCAGGAAACCTCCTGTGGAACTCCCAAGTGCTACAGGCTGCCAGAGGGACCCAAGGGCTATGGACTCCCCTCTGAGCCCTGTCCACCCTCATTCTCCAGGAGTCCAGGCCTTCCTGACAACATGCACTCTCTCCCAAATTCATATCTGCCTCCAGGTTGTGTCCTGGTCAGGGGCATTTCCCCAGCCTCACCCAAAGGCTTGGGCTTCTCCTTCTGGTCAGCCACCCTGTCCTGCAGATGGTGAGCAGAGAGGCCCAGCAGCCTTCACCCTCTGCCGTGTAGGGGAGCCATCGACAGCCTCCTGGCCTAGCCTGAGACCAGGGACCAGTTGAGTTCTTGTCTGGGAGGGGGCTAGACAAGGAGCAGACATGGCTTACGTCCAGCAGTGAACAGGATGGTGACTCGGGTGCAAGGTGGTACAGGGCGGGGGGGCATGGGGCTGGTCGGGCCCTCATGGGGGGAGACCCTCAGAGCCGTCCCAGACACAGCAGCAGAACCACATGCACAGGAAGCCTCCTGGGGTCTGCACACCACTTGCAGGCAAGGAGAGAGGCCTGGGGTGAAGGCCCCCTGGGGCTGCTGGGCAGCATCCCAACACGGAAGCCCGATCCAGGATAACACGCCTGCTGAGTAGACCCTCACCTCCCTGCAAGCGCTCCAGGGCTCTCCTGTCCACGAGGCTGCAGCCTCCAGCCGTCTGTGCCGACAACCCGCAAGGTGAAGGGCACTCGCAGATTCTGAGCTAAAGTGCCAAGTGCAGAGGCTGCAGAGGGAGGGTCTGTCTGGCAGTGCCCGCCCTCCTCGGGGTGCCTGTCTAGTCCCCGTTTCCAGAGGGCTCCCGGCAGTCACGCCTCAGCAGGGGGCGGTCTCCTAGGAGGGCTACCTGCTCCCCTGGAGTCTCTCCAGTCACTGGGGGACACAACAGCAGCCCAGGGGCTTCAGGCACCCACAGACTGCGTGGAGCCTCCTATGGGCCAGGTGGGGACAGAGGGCCATTCTCCAAGTTGGGCACCAGAGCTGAGTCTCAGGGCCACGGGGCAAGGCAGAGAACAGATGGGAGTGGCAGGGGCGTTGAGAGCAGAAGGGCTGCTAGCCACCTGCCATTTCCTGTTCAGTCTGAACAGCCCAAAGGAGGGAGATGGGGAGGCAGGAGAGGGCTGGAGGCAGGCCTGAGCTCTGCGGTGTCCTGCAGCCCAGGAGAGAAACATAAGGCAGGTGACACAGGACTCTTAAAAAAAAAACCACCTCTTTTACTGTAAAAAATACAGCCACAGACTGGGTGTCCTGAGCACAGGGCTCACGAGCAGGGCGCCCCAGGGCCCGGCACGGCACCTCCGTCCTGCAGGTGGCGTCACTTGGCACTCAGGGGCGGCCGCCTGTGCTGCTCCAGCAGCTCCTCCAGGTGATCAGCCCGCTTCATGGCAGCCTGTGACGGGCACCAGAGTCAGCCGTGGGCTGCCCCAACCTCAGGCAGGACCAGCACAGGGACCCTGGGACCCACCTCATGCTGTCTCCGGAGGCTGCTCACGGCCTTCTCCTTCCTGGCGAGGGCTGTCTTCACCCTGCAGAGGCACACAGTGGGATTCTGCACAGCGCCCCCTCGGCCAGCCTTCAGGGGCAGCCAGCCTGCCCAGCCCACTGGCCACAGCTCCAGGGCTGGCCTGGGCCCAGAGAAGCTGCCTTCGCGGGGGTCAGAACCCAGAGAGCGTGCCTGGAGCAGCACGGGCCAGGGGGCTGTGCCAGGACAGGCGTGAACTTCTCGTACCCAGCCCGCAGGGCCATGGCAAGTGTGGGCAGGTGGCAGGAGGACCATGAGGTCCCTGGGGGCTCACTGTTGCCCCTGCAGCTTCCCCTCTCTGTGTATCAGCTGCCCCACCCAGGCCTCCAGCCCTCAGGAGGCCCTGGGGTGCCCCCTGCTCAGGTGCTCCTGGTGAGGCCAGGCACCAGATGCCCCAGGACTCAGTGCCACTGGGGTACTGGTCCCGGCTTCCTGGACTCGGACCTGGACCACGTGCCAGCCCCCGCCCACAGGCGGCCTGCACCCCGGAGGCCTTCACCTTGCTCACCCTCCTCGTCTGTGGTGCCCTCCGCCGTGGTGCTGGGGGGTGCTGCACCTGCCCTGCCCTCGGCCTCCGGCCCCTGCCACCTGGCCACCCACCTCTGGTGCACCTCATCCATCTCCAGCTGTCGGCGGGCCTGCAGCTCAGCCAGCTCGGCCTTGACCCGCTGGTTCTCCTCCTCAGAGGCCGCCAGCCGGTCAGCAAACTCCTGGCGGACCACCTCGACCAGGCTGCCTCGCTCCCTGGACAGCTCCGAGTTGACCTGGAGGCAGGGAAGGTGGTGAACAGGGCTCCCGCGGCGGTGGGCTCTGGACCTGGGAGGGGCGGGGGACACTCACTGCCCGTAGGTCATCCAGCTCCTGCTCCCTCTGCCGCAACAGGGCCTGCAGGCGCTCCTCCTCCCCCTCGGCCTCCCCAAGGCGCCCCCTCAGCTCCGAGCACCGATCCCGCAGCTTCCGCTGGGCCTGCTCCAGTTCCGAGAGCTCAGCCTCATACTGGTCCCGCACACGCTTGATGCTGGTGGGTGGGCGGGGTGCGGCTGGCAGAGGGGCCGGGACGAACTCCTGCCCTCCCCTCACCCCAGCGGCCAGGGCAGCCCAGCACCAGCCCCTGGCTGGCTCCCGCGCTGGAGGCCTCACCGGCTCTCCATGGCCCTGTCACTCTCCTCCTTGGCCAGGGTCATGTCAGCCTCCAGCCGGTGGATGACCAGCTCGATCTCCTGGTCGCGGTCTTTCCGGATTTCCTCCTTGAGCTCCCGTTCCCGGTTCAGCTGCCACGCTTCCTGCGGGGCCAGGCAGCTGGCTGGGGAACCACTGGGAGGGCGCAGGACAAGGGAGGTGGAGGGGCACAGGGCAGGCTCCCGGGGGCTCCCTTCTTTGACCAACGGGGGCACGGACACATTCATCGGGCAGAGAGGGCTTGCCCTGCCCTGCCCTAGTTCCCCAGGTGCTGGAGCCCTTGGATAAGGCGGCCAACAGGCGAGTCCTCTCCTTGGAGACCACTCTGCCACCAGACAGGCTGGGGACAAAGAAGGCACTGGCCATACTGCTAAGTGGGGCTGTGAGAGTGCGAATGGGGCCAGTTCCTGGAAGCTATTTGGAAATTCCCACAAGGAAACACCAGAGGCCAAGGAGGGCGGCCCCCACAGGCGGGCAAGCAGTTGACGGAGGGGCAGGGGCTGGCAGCTGCCGGGCATGGAGGACAAGATGCCCTGACCAGGCCTTGTCCTCCTGCTGCCAACTCCTGGCTTTCCTGCGGCCACAGGATGGCAGAGAGCAGCCTGCAAGCCGAGTCAGGAGAGCCCCACGGAGCCCTGTGCGACACTGGAAGGGCCCCGGAGGCCTGGTGCTGCCCTGCCCTCCCACCTCTTTCTTGGCACAGCTGGCCGTCCATGCCTGCCTCTCCACCTCCAGCTGGTCCTTCAGAGCCTTCAGCTCCACCTGGAGGGGAACAGGGCATGAGAGCCAGCAGCCAGCCCTGTCCGCCCAGAGCCTAGCCCCGGCCCCTGCCCTACGGGGATGCCAGGCTCGGCACGGGGGAGGGGACCTGGTGCCGACGCTCCTGCTCCTCTTGACCCTTCTCGAACTCGGTCCTCAGGGCTCGGGTCAGCGCTGAGCTGCTGTCCTCTAGCCGCTGTCTCAGCTCCTCCAGCTCTGCTCGCTGCCTGCAGGCCAGGCCAGGCGTCAGTGGGCACAGGGCACCGAGGGTCACCACGTGAGCAGTCTATGGCTGGGTGAGGGCTTCACTGTGAGGGGGGTCAGCAGCCCTGGCGGCACCTGGCTGCCTGCTGGCTCAGGCGCTCCCTCTCCTCGGCCACCTCGCCGTACAGCCGCCGCCGCTGCTGCTCCAGGGCCCGCTGTTCCTGCTCCAGGTGCTGCTCAAACCTGCGGGAGGGCGAGGCTGGCTCACCTGGCAGGTCGCGCAGTCCCAGGACAGGCCCCAGGACACTCGTGCGGCAGGGCAGGGGCAGCCACAGGCCACAAACACCAGTCCTCAGAGCATCCTTCCAGTGACACTTGATGCCTGTCGGAGCCACTGCCCAGGTCAGCAAAGCCAGGCCACAAGTCCACCATGACTCCGAGCTGAGGCTCCTGTGGTGGCTTGTGAAATGGCCTCGTGGCTCGGCCACCTACTATCTCCTATTCCTGTCTGTCCTCACCGACCGCATCCTGCTTGGCCCCGCAGGCGAGGAGGGCCTCTTCCTGCCAGCTCTGCTTCCTGTGTGGGGGGCCAGGGCCAGGGTCCACGGTGGGAGCAGGCTGCCGTCGGCCTGTGTCCTCACCCCACCTGAGACAGGGCTGTGGGTCTGGCCAGCTGTGTTTTGAAGGGCCAGCCATACAAAAGGAGCTGCTTGCATATACTGGCCATTGCCAGCATGTCCCCCAGCCTTCAGGTCCCTAGGGTCTGAGGGCCCACCCAGCCTGGTCACACCTCTAACCGGTGACACCCTGCACCCCCACAGGGCCAAGGAGATGAGGGCAAGAGGCTGCTCTGGGCACCAGAGGGGCCTTGGAGTCACCTGTCTGGGGCTGAAAGTTCTGGGCCAGCTGTGGGGGTCTGCACACCTCCTGAGTCACAACCCTAGCTTCACGGGAGGGACGTGCTGGCTGGTGCAGGGGCTGCACCCACAAGCACAAAGGAGCTACTGGCCGGTGCTGAGATGGGCAGGACTGCTATTCTGGGGCCACAGTTTCCTGTGCCCTCCTGGGTAGCTGCACCAAGACCCTGGGCCCCTCCCCCTCCCAAGACCCCCAGACCCAGGCCTTCAGGACATACCCTCAGGGTTTAGAGAGGAAATGCCCTGCTTCGGCTGAGGGTCTGGGCATGGCCCCACCCCACCCGGGCCCCTGGCCTGGGCAGCCAGGATGTGCGAATGCCCACCGCCGCTGGGCTCGCTCGCGCTCCTGCTGGCCCAGTGCCTCCTTCTCCCGCTCCAGGTGCTCCCGCAGGTCCTCGGCCTGGCGCAGGTAGCGCTGGGCGGCCTGCTCGTCCCGCTGCAGCAGCTCGGCCTCGTGCAGGCCCCGGAGCCGCCTCAGCTCCTGCTTGTGCTTGGCGATGAGCTTCTGGATCTCGGGCTCCAGGCCTGGGGGCAGGACAGCAGCTGCAGGGAGTCCCCGCCCACACCACCCCTCCAGGGCGCCAACCTCGGAGTGCAGTTGTGCCTCAAGTGCTGCCCCTGGTCCCTGCTCCTGGGGCAGTCACTCTGTAGCAGCTGAAGGGGACTCCAGGGCCCGTCCAGCCTGGGCAGGTGCCCGCCTGCCCTAACCATCAGGCCTCTTAGCATGGGTGTCCAGGACCCTGGAGCCAGGGTTCTGGGTCAAGAGCCAGGCCAGGAGAGCCCCACGAGCCACCTGAGGGCCTGGGCTCCCTCCGACAGCACCCTGGAGCCCGCCTCCCAGCCTCCTGCTCCCTGCTGCTTCCCACAGCGTGGCCTCCTGTTGGTGGCCCACTAACCCGACTTCTCCAAGCCCACCCCAGGGGAGGTGGGCGCTGCCCGAGTTCTAGTCTCTGATGGCCCACTGGTGTGGGCCTGCCCCTTCCACCCCCGGGCGGCTGCCCCTCAACACTGTGCCTGCTCTGGGAGGTCTGGTGTGAGTCCCTCCTGTTGGGGACTGCAGCCACTCTTCCCTTCAAGAGCACCCAAATCAGTGCTGGAGTGGCCCACCTCTGACGGTGATCTCCTTGATCTTCTTGGTTTTCTCGTTGATCCACTTCTCCCTGCGGACTTTCTCTGTTGCACTCATTAGTTCTTTGAGTTTCTTGATCTCCTAGAAACAAGGACATGGGAAGTGGAAAGAGAAGATGCAAATGACATCTGTCCCCTCTGCCACACCTGTGTCCTGAGCAGGGCAGCAGCCTTCCAACTGCAGAGGCCCTGCTCTCCCCTGTGGCCGGCGGTCCTCAACACTGGCTGTCGCCATGGACTCCAGGGGCCTCTGGCAACGCTGGTGCCACCCTCACTCAGAATCTGGGCTCTGGTCTGGGGTGGCCTCAGGGACTTGGCATCCAGATGGGAAGCACACTGAGGCGGCTGAGGCGGCCTCTCACTCCTGGCAGCCAAGCAGGAGGACGCCAGGAGCGGTCCTGGGCCTGAGCTGCTTGGGCACCCAGGCTGGGCTTGGCCTCCCGAGTCCAGGGCCACTGCCCACGGGAAGGGCCAGGCCGGCACCATGTCTGGATCTGGGTGGAAACACGGAAGCAGCCAGGGGAAGACGCAGCTTGGTGCGAGGAACAGCCCTCCTGTCTGGACCACATCCTCAGGGTCCCCGACTATGGAGACCCTCCTCCAGCCCCGCCCTGCTCTGGGGTCCGCTGCCCGCGGCGCGGCTCGGCCAGGCCCCCAGGCTGCTCACCAGCTGGTGCTGCTCCTGCATCTGGGCCATGCGCTCTCGACACCGCTGGTCGCCCTGCTTCAGCTCGGCCACCACCGCCTCACACTTCTCGTTCAGGACCTTCTTGTCTTCGATCAGCTGTGAGGCGGGGGTAAGGCTCTGCACTAAGGTCCCCACCCCAGCAGGAGGCCTGTCTCCCAGGGCCACCCTCTCCATGCAGGACTGTGTGTGCATGTGGACACGGGGCGGCTGCCCCTCTGGGTACTCGACCTGGAGGACATGGTGGATGCCAGAGAAGCCCCAGTGGGGACCAGCCCAGCCTCGCTGAGGACCCTCCTGGGATGAGGGTGGCACCTTGCCTGCAGGAGGGCCTGCAGGCTGGTGCCAAGGGGTGTCCAGGAAGCCTCCTGGAACCACACCAGCCTCACTGAGAGCCCGACTCTCGACCTGGGCACACTGATGTCGACCACCCAGTAGTGACCACCATCTTTCCAACCCCAGGCCTAGAGATCTCTCCAGACCTGGCCAGGGATGTGGCTGAGGGGCAACCCGGAAGCTTCTGCTGCTCTCACTGGGGGTACTCTGGCTGTCCCAGAAGCCCCAACAGACCAGGGGTGGCCCTCCAGGGATCGGATGGCCCAGGCATGGCACAGAAAATTTTGAACTTTGCCCAGGACACCTCCCTGTTGGGCCAGCAGTCAGCTAGCTCTGGAACGCCTGGCTCCTCCAAGGCACGCCTGGTTGTCTCTGCCCGCTGTCCCGGCAGCCCACCACACTGGGCAGGACACAGCGGGCTATGTGGACCTCGGGCCAGCTCCACCTGCGGCCAGCCCCTTGCTCTGTAAGCCTGATTCTGACCCTCTGGCCTCATCCGTCTTCCTGGTTCCCTGGGAGGGCATCACCTGGTCAATGAAGGACAGGTGCCGCTGGATGGTGGCCTCATAGTGCTCTTTCTGGTGCCGAAGCTGCCGCCTCAGCTCCTCTTCTGTCTCTTTGACCCGCCGGACCGTGAGGTCACGTTGCTGTGCCTGTGTGGGGTGTGGGCAGGAAGGAGGTTCTGGCACCAGTCCAGCCAGAGACCCAGGGCGGAAGGCACAGAGCGCCTTGGGAAGAAGCCAGTGCCCAGGGCTCTCAGCGAGGTGCTATGGGGGCCTGTGGCCCAGCTGGCAGCCCTGGGTGACAGGCTAAGGGCCTCACCAGTGCCCTCTGCAGCAGAACCACAGCCTGCTTCTGCTCCTCCAGCTCCAGCCGCGTCACAGACACGCGCCCCTCGGATGCCAGCTCTGGGCGCCCCCGCCCCACGTCTGCTGCCAGCCCCTGCAGACGTGGCCAAGTGTCAGGCAGGTGGGCCACCACCCACCGCTCGCTGGGTGGACGACCAGGAGGCGGCAGGGATGTGCAAGGTGCCTTGCCTGCCCATGTTCCGGGGGACCTCCATGTCCCCCCCACTCCACCCTCAGGGGAAGGAGCAGCAAGGTGCAGGCACCTGAGGCTGATGGGAGAGCTCCCCCAGAAGGCTTCTATTGTTGGGTACAGGGCAATGAGGGTTGTGACCTCAGTCCCTACACAGCCACTAAAGAGCACTCTGGCACCAGTCCAGCCAGAGACCCAGGGCTGGGCACTGGTGGCCGTGCGGAAGGCACAGAGCGCCTTGGGAAGAAGGCAGTGCCCGGGTCACAGTCACTTCTGACCTTCCTGCCGTTGGCCACCACTCCACTCAGCCTGGCCACTGGTGTTCACCAGGGGACACCAGGGCCCAGGGTGCCAGGACAGCTCCCTGGGCAAGGCGTAGGGAGGATGCTCGAGAGGCTCACCCAGAGAGGAATCCGCATGGGACAGTCGGTCCTGCCAGTCCCCCGCCTGGGCCACTCAGCCACATGGCTGAGCAGCCTGGTGGCCTCAGGTAAGGGGGAGGCAGGTGCGACCCCCAGAGCAGAGTGGGCTGGGCTGCCGCAGGGGCCTGACAGGTGCCCACCTCCTGCTGCCTGGCGGGCTGGCCCTGGCCCGACCTCTCCATCTCGTCCAGGAAGCTCCTGACGCCCCGCAGCTTCGCCTCGGACAGCAGCGCCCCCTCCTCAGGGGTGCTGCAGGGTGCACCGAGTTTCCCCCACCTCTCCAGGTTGTCAGCCGTCAGGGAGCTGGCACTGTCCTGTGGGGTGGGGCCAGCAATGGGTGCCGCTGGGGTGGCCCGAGCACTCGGGGTCCCCGGGGCTGGGTGCTTTGCTGGGGGAGCAGAGGCAGTAAGAGTGGGAGGCGGGAGGCAGCTGGGTGTCGCCCACCCGGAGGGTCTGTGTCCCACCTCACGGTCCCTGCACAGGAGGGGAGAGTGGGTCGGTGAGATCTAGCTGGCTTGTTAGGGTCTCAACTGCAGCCAGGAGCTGGGGAACCCCGCTTTCCCTGGCCTCTGGGCCTGTGAGGATGGTGGCAGCACGGGCTGGGGTGAGGGATCGTGTGGCTGAGTCACCTCATCCATCCAAGCATATCTGTCCTTGTGATAGACCCTGGCATGGGACAGTGGTTCGGGATCCTCCTCCAGCAGCCTCAGCGTGTCCAGCAGCTCGTCCAGGGTTTCCCTGGACTTGACCCTGCTCCTGGTGGGGCCCACCATCTCCACGTCCTCACTGGCCATGTCCTGGGACAGGATGCGTTACAGTAGACAGGCAGGGGGGACACAGCCACCAAGGCCACTGGTGCCCAAGAGAATACTCGTGCCCAAGGCGGACCCCAGTGGTGCTGGGTGGGGCCTCTGCTGCCCACGTCCTGTGGCTCCTCAAGCCCACCCTACAGGTTGAAAGCATCTCCACCAGTGGCAACCCTCCCCCAGGAGAACAGACAGACAGGCTCGGCCATTCAGCTACATCACTGAGCAGCCTGGTGGCCTCGCTGTCCCCTGACACCTCTGACCTTCAAGCTCGTCTTCTGTGGACGGGGACACAAGGCCCTACCCAGGCCCAGTGTGAAAACCTTACAGGGTTCCAGAGCAGTTCTGAGACTCCACCCAGCCAGGGCCCCCCCAGCCTGCCACTCTGCATCAGAACAGGAGCCCTGGGAAGCCTTTCAGGGGAACCCGGCTGAGGAGGGGCAGGGAAAAGGTCGGCTCAGGCCACTCCTGGCATGGACATGCCCCTGAAAACTAAAGTCCAGGAGGGAGGGAAGGGTGGGCTGTGCCCAGACCTGTGGCTTGTCCTCCGGAGATAGCTGGTGCTCTGAGGATGAGTCAGAGGCAGGCAGGCAGGGGTTCCTGGGGCCTGTGGGGTGGACGGTGGTGCCTGCCCAACAGAACATAGCAGGTTCCTGAACCTGGAAGAGCCTGGGAAGGAGCCAGGTAAGGGGGAGGCAGGTATGACCCAGAGCAGAGGCATCGGGGAGCCCCCGGCTTCCAGGGACTGAGGTTGGGGAGCTGGCGTAACCTCTGGCTCTAGGCCTCGATGCTCCGTGGGTCCTGTGTCCAGGACCAGCTGTCAAGGACTGAGCACCTCAAGTCCAACCAAACAGGTGAGCTGGTCAGGAGCAGAGGTGGTGTGGCTGTTAGCATGGCCCAGGCTGTGGGTAGAAGCTGCCCACCTGGCCACAGTACGAGGGCCAGGGCATGACAGCAAAGGCTGCACCTCCTTCCTATCCTAGGCCTTCCAGGTCACTCACCAGTGTTGCTGGCCTTGAGGGGCTGGCGGGCGTCACTGCCTGGTGTCAGGGGCGGCCCCTGGGAGGGCCGAGGCTGCCCCGGTGCTCTGGTTTCTGGGCTCCCCTTGGGCAGCCCGTGCTCAGCCTTGCCTGGCTGCTGGGCTCGTTTCTGCCGCAGCTCCTGCCAGGGGAAGCACCTCTGAGCAGCCCCGAGGCCAGCCCCTTGCCTCCCACGGCCCAGCTGCCCTGGGGCTCCACGTCCAGAGCCTGAGGACCCAGGCAGCAGTGCTGGAGCTGGGGCTGGGGCTGGGCTCTTCCTGGCCTCCGGGGGCTGAAGGGCACCTGAATGGCCGCCTGCCTGGCCTGGCGAGCCTTCTCCTCTCGGGCCTTCTTCCTTGCCGCCTCCTTCTGCCGGTGCAGGTCCAGGAGGTTGCCACTGCCCAGCTGCTGCTGCTGCCCCTGCCACAAGAGCTAGGGAGGGTGAGGCAAGCCCCCAGGACTCTGAACCCCCCCTCTGCCCCATGAAGGGCAAGCCCCCAACCCCGAGAGTGCTCAGCAGGGGAGTCAACACTGTGCCTCGGGGTCAGGTGCCCATGCAAAGGCCTCCTGGGACCAGCAGGACACTCAGGCCTGACCATGGTCCCCTCGAGGACAATGTGGGCCACAGAGGTGTGACCTGTGTGGTTCCAGGTCTCTGTTCTACTGGTCCCAGAAACTGCCTATGCACAGTTCAGACCTTGGGCTTCTGCACCCACCCAGGGGGGAGCCCGGGTGGCTGTGCCCACAATGACCTCCTGCGTGGCCGCCTGCAAGTGCTCCAGGTCTGTAACTCCTGCTTTGCGGCGCTGTACCTGGTGGCGGTACCAGCGCTGGATGGTGACGGCAGCCTGGTTCACCTGGTGGATAAACCTGTCCAGAGAGCAGGTTTCAGGACTGAGAGGGGTCCAGTGCCCCCAAGGCCCTGTAAGAACCTGCAGAACAGAGGCCCAGCCAGGCAGAGCAAGCTGGTGGCTACACACAGCCCTTGCCATCAACTGAAACCTGGCAGGACCAGCCCTCCTGGCTCATCTCACCAACACCCAAATGCAACGTCCCAGGTCACCAGGAGAGCAGGTGCCGTCTGTCCACAGACCTGGGTAGTCTGTGCACGAAAGGCACCAACAGGAAGCAACCCAAACATGCTTCACTGTCTTCAGAGCGAGCTCAGGTGACAGGTGACAGGACGCTGCTCAGCAGCAAGGAGCAACCACCTGCGCTGGTGCCAGGCACAGAGGAGGGGCTCTGTCTAGGGCATGCCACAACAGCCGGACTGCTGGGCAGGGGCCTGAGGGTGGACAGACAGGACTCCAGGGACCGTGGTGCCGGAGCCGTCTGGTGGTGGTGCACTGCATCCACCGACACCACGTGTGCATCTGTCCACGGGAAGCCTTTTATCACTCAAGATCACACTCAGTACAGCTGACCAAGTGAAAACGCTGACCCCGACCCTTAGGACCAAGCGCAGATCCTCTCAGCAAAGACATTAAGAGAGCACAGGGCAGAACTCGTCTGCCACCAGGGCCCTGACTCGGTGAGTCCCGCCCACCAAGGACACCTCAGAGGCTTTGAGCAGCTGCAGCAGGGCAGGCCGGGTGGAGGCCAAGGCCGGGTGGAGGCCAAGGCCAGGTGGAGGCGTCTGCAGAAGCTGTCTGGCTGCTAAGTGAGGAGACCAGGGCCGCTATCCTGAGGCAGAGGCTCCACTACACCCACCCCGCAGCCCCCAAGGGCAGCTTCAAGTGTACAGCCCCTCAGGGTTTCTTGCTCTTCTCAGTCTTGTTATCTTCTTTCCCTTAACTTTATTTTTTTATTTTTTTTGTCCTAAGGATTAAACCGAGGGGTGTTTAACCACCAAGCCACATCCCCAACCCTTTTTATTTTTGAGACAGGGTCTCGTTAAGTTGCTTATAGCCTTGCTAAATTGCTGAAGCTGACCTTAAACTTGTGATCCTCCTGCCTCAGCCTCGTGAGCTGCTAGGATTACAGGTGTGCACCACCTCACCCAGCCCCATAAAGTTCTTTTAACAAACAACTCTACTGAGAATAACTGACACATTATTAAAACCTGCCCATTTTCAGCACACAATTTCATGATTTTAAGCAAATTTACACAGTCTGCAACTACCAGCACAATCCCCATCAACATAATCCTTTTCTAGAATGTTCCCACTGCCTCAAAGAGCAACGGCCACCCTGTGTCTCCAGCTTCTGCCCAATCCTGGCAGCCATTGCTCCCTTCATGCCTCTAAGGATCTGCCTCTTCTTGGCACTTTATGCAGATGAGCCACACCACATGTGTCTGTCACTTGCCATTTAAATAACTACTGAATAAGATTCCCACTGGAGTCCTCCGACCCCAGGCCTTACTCCTGCTCCCCCAACTCCCCAGGCCCTAGCCCCTGCTCCCCCAACCCCCCAGGCCTTGCCCCTGCTCCCCGCAACCCCTCAGGCCCTTGCCCCTGCTCCCTACAACCCCCAGGCCCTTGCCCCTGCTCCCTAGAGCCCCCCAAGCCCTTCCTCCTGCTCCCTAAAGCCCCCAGGCCCTTGCCCCTGCTCCCTGCAAGCCTCACCTCTCGGCCTCCTCCTCCGTCACCTCCTTCCGCCTGAGTAGGTTGGTGGTGGTCCCCCCAGCAGCGCCCCGGGCCGCACGGTCAGTGCTGAAGTTCTTGTGGGGCTTCCGGAAGCTGCTACCCTCACTGCCCTCGTTGGTGGCTGCCTTGATGATGTTGCTAATCAGAAGAGAAACCCCGTCTCACTGCCCCAGGAGCGCTCTGCCCAGGCGCCAGTGGAGCCCCAGCCGCCCTGGGCTCTGAGCCAGCAGGAGGTCTGGGCACGGCAAGAAGTTTGCCCTCCTCCTCTACTTGGCCAGTCCCTGGGGACACCTGTACTATGACAGACCCGTCAGCCTGCGCCTGAGTAAATGGGCTTCACATTCATTTATTTTTTTAAGTGGTGCTGGGATTGAACTCAGGGGTACTGTATCACTGGGTCACATCCAGTCTTCTGTTTTTTTTTTAAAGTATTTTTTTTAGTTGTAGTTGGACACAACTTTATTTTATTTATTTATTTTTATGTGGTGCCAAGGATTGAACCCAGGGCCTCACACCTGCTAGGCAAGCGCTCTGCCTCTGAGCCACAGCCCCAGCCCCAGTTTTCTATTTTTATTACACAGACAAGGCCTCCCTGAACTGCCCAGGCTGGCCTCAAACCTGTCATCTTCCTGCCTTAGCCTCCAAAGTAGCTGAGATTATAGGCATCTGGGATTACAGGCATGTACCGTTGGGCCAGATATTCTTTACATTTACAAAAGTAAGAAGTTCTTAGAAGCAGCAGGAGTCCACAGCTAGGTGGCTCGGGAAAGCTGGAGGGCCACCAACTCAGCAAAGCAGCGCAGGGGGCTCCTCTGCATCTTTCAGTCACCCCACGGCGACACCCTTTCAGTTCTGGACATGGCCAGCAGCTTCCTCAGGAGGGCCCCCGCCCGCTGTGAGTCCCTGGGAAGTGGGCCTGGCCCTGGATGGGACTGGGTGACAGCACTGAGGGTGAGGGACCTGCTGCTCAGTCCAGTGCACTCACGTGCACCGCGTGCCCTGCTGAGCAGACCCCGGGCCTGGTGCCTCCTGGGCCGGTGCCAGCCTTACTTGAGAGCGGGGGCTGTCTGGTTAGAGCTCTTGAGTGGGGGCGCCCTCTCCATGGGGGCGTAGTGGTTGTGCACCATGCTGGTGACGCAGTTGCCCACGGCTCCCTTGCTGCTCCTGCCAGAGAAGGAGGGTGCATCAGTGTGGGAGCAGGCGGCTGGGACCGCCAGCATGGGTACAGGTGTCGAGGGGCTGCCAGTGCTTGCTGTGGCACCGTCGGGAGTCTCCAGGGCCCCATGTCCTGCACCTAGTGGAGAAGCCCTTCCTGTCTCTCAGGGAGACAGCTGTGTCCCCAGGCCCCATGAGGCCGAGGCTGGGGCTGGCCTGCTGCTTCCTCCGGGGCTCCTCCGCACCCTCCTACCACCCTGACCATGACCTTCGGACGTGCTCTGGTCCTTCAGGTCCCCAGAGTGTGACCTTAGAGTGAACACTGCATCCCTGACAAGGCAGGCCACTTTGGGCCTGAAGGCCATATGGTCCCCACCACCAGAGACACAAGGAACCAAGTCCAACCTCCAGGGAACTCTGGAGGGGCAAGAGCTCCCCGCGGGACATGGCGGCTACAGCCTGTGGGACAAGCACAAGCCCCTGTTTAAGGAGTGGTCAACAGCCCCCCCAACCCCACCTTGCAGCCTTTGCCCTTGAGTAAGAAAGCCATTCATTCCAAAGGAGCCAGATCCCACCACCAACACTGCAGAGGTGGTACCTGTTATTGGCTGTGAAGCTGGGTGCCAGGGCACACTCCCTCCTCCGTGGGCCCCCTGGGGAGTTGAGGGTGCTGGGACTCTGGGCACTGGCCGGCGAGCCAAAGCCCCTGGGCTGATCATCCTAGGGGCACACAGGACACCCTCAAGGCCCTACCCCAGGGTCCTTGCCCTCCCAACACTGCCACACCCACAAATGGAGGTGTCCAAGTGCCCAGGGTGTAAGGATCACAGCCTGCTGACCAAGACAAAGGCAAAAGGACACAAGGAGCAGACGGCAGTCCTGTGGCAGGACCAAGACCCACGCCGCCTCGGCCCGCCTCACCAGGACGTTCCAGGTGGCTCCCTTCCCACTGCATGGCTTGGGCAGGCTGGCCAGCCTCCCTCTCCCACCAGGATCTCCCTCGAACAGCGCCAGGAAGTCAGTGGGCTCCGCAGGCCTGTGTCACAAGAGGATGGCACATGAGGACAAGGTCAGCCAGACAGGTGGCCAGCCCCAGGAAGACAGGGCCACGTCTCACAAGAGGACAGAGGGGGCTGTGCTGCCAGTGAGAGCTTCTGCCCCCAAAGCCGCTCCTTAGCCTGACCAGCGGGCTCGGGCTGGGGCCTGGGGGAGAGGCCCAAGAACCCGTCCGTTAGCCACACTGAGCTTAGATTTCTGAGGACCAAGGGTCTTTGATATGTGACCAGCCACTGCTACCACTCTCCTCCTGTGGTCAGGAAGCCACACAGGCCTGCAGCTCAGAGGGGTCCACAGGGCCCCCCATGTGGCCTAGGACATACCTGCCCCAATGTCCAAACCTACCTGGGGCAAGAGCCACAGCTGCCCCAACAGAGCTGCCCTGATGGTAATGTGGTCTGTCCACAGTACTGCATTATTATTATTTTTGTTGTTGTTATTATTATTATACCAGGGATTGAACCCAGGGACGCTAGCCACTGAGTTTCATCCCCAGCACTCTTTGCTTTTGAGATGGGGTCTTCCTAAGTTGCTTAGGGCCTTGCTAAGTTGCCCAGGCTGACCTTGAACTTGAGTCCTCCTGCCTCAACCTCCTGAGTTGCTGGGATCACAGGTACATGCCACTGCGCCCAGCCAGTGATAAATCAACCCACTATGAGGTATGCAGCACTGGTCATCCACTGGCCATCGCCATGGCACAAATGGCCCTCGGACACACTGAGCTCCAGGAAAAAGCCCGACACCAAAGGCCACACATTGTGACTCCGGCTGCAGGAAATTTCCAGAACAGGCGAACCCACAGCACGCAGGTTGGTGGCCAGCGGGTGGGAGGGAGGGAAGTGACCATCAAGGGTCACGGGGCTTTCTCTAGGGAGAAAACATGACCGTGGCGATGGCGGTACAACTCAAGTGTACTAAGGATCACTGATGGGCTGGGTGTGGCTCAGTGATAGAGCACTTGTCTAGCTTGCAGGAGGCCCTGGGTTCAATCCCCAGCACCAAAAAAAAAATAAATAAATAAAATAAATAAAAAGAAAAGAAGAAGAAATAAAAAGTGCAGCAAGTATCCCAGCTGCTCTGCGCCACAGTCCTGGGCTCTGAAGTTGCCTCTGGTAGACATACAATGCCAACCCCTGAGGCCACCGACCCTGGGCGGGGCAGCACTGTCCTGTTCCTCAGGGGAGGTGACCCCTGGGCTGGCCCAGAACTTATCAGTCTACACATCTGCAGCCCTAGCTGGCATCTGCCCTCTTGCAGACAAGACGTGTAGGAGGAGGTGTCAGCCTAGGCCCTTGTCCTGAGGGTTTGCTGGCTGCAGGCTGGGTCCCCTGCTGGCACTGGCATCCCCTCCCACTGGAGTGGAGCCAGCGGGGCAGCAGCTGCTTAACTGGCGCAAACAGCACAGGCTCACCAGGAGGATGCGGAACTGCCAGGTGCCGGTGCCTCTGTACCCAGACCTGACCCCAGGGGAAGGTGGACAGATCTGCCTGGAGGACCCTGCCAATGAGACAAGACTGTCTGCCTGTTGGTGGCCTCCCCACCCAGCCCATGGCTAGAGGTGGACCTGCATGGAGCTCACCCCAGGCCCCAGGCTTTAAAGGGGCACAGATGGAGCTGACAAAGGGCTGAGGCAGGAGAGGACAGGGGCTACCTGGGGGCTGGGCTACCAGAGGGCTCTGGGAGAAGCTGGGGTGATGAGGCCACCCGATGGGCTGGGGTTACCTGGGGCAGCTGGTCCACGGCTGGTTAACCTGTGTGGTGCTGTTAGATCTTCGAAGGTTGTTGATGGCCCGGGAACCCCCAGGCCCTGTGGCCTCCTGCGAAGAGGGAGAGAAAGCCACTCAATGGCCGAAGTCTCCGACCCTTGTCAGCCTGCTCAGCACAGGCAAGCCCTGGAGGGACAGATGGAACGCATGCTCGGTTTAGGGACGGACTGGGACACAAGTGACCCAGGAGCAGGTAGGCAGGACGGGGCAGTGTGGGGGCTGGGCAGGGCCGACCTCCTAGAGCCTGGACTTTCTGCACAGGTGGGGAGGGTCGTGGCCAGGCAGCAGGCTGGCTGTGAGCCGTCTCCTGTCGGGAGCACAGCCAGGCGGCTCTGGGTTGCCATGGGGTGAGAGAGGAGATGGGGGCACCGGTGGGCATGGGCAGCGAGCCCTCAGGGAGTCTGGGTCAGAGGGCAGTCTGCACAGTCCCGGGCAGGAGGCTGTTGGGGAGGAGAGTGCCGCAGGCCGCGAGGGCGTGTGGAGCCCTGAGGCCAGGCTGAGGGAGGCACTGTGGGTGGCCTCTGGGCCACTGCTGGGGCTCGCTCCTGGGAGAGGCAGTGACGGGCTTGAGGCAGGTGGGGAAGGGCTCAGTGGAACGAGGCTAGGCCAGGGGCTGCCTTCCAGCTTCCCGCAGGCTTAAGATCTTCCAAATCAAGCACTTTGGGGGAAAGTCCGGAGTGAGAAACAGCGGGGGACCCTCCCCACCCCACACACTGTTCACATCATCAGTGAGATTCAACCTGACGCCAACGGGGGTCCACCCCAACAGTGAGCCCCCAGACCGGAAAACAGACACAGACTTTCAGGTTTTAAAAATCAGAATCCTTAAGCTAAAAACAAACCCCCCTCACAGAAGACAAAAAACAAAACCAAGGGACCCGTCACATGCGGGAAGCCGCGAAGCAGACGATTCTCCCTGGCATCTCCCCTGGCCTCGCAGTCGCTTTCTGAAGCAGCGGACAGCGGGCCGGAGCGGCCAGAGCGGCCACAGCAGAGACACAGGGCTCTGACGTCAGAAGGTGGGAGCACCCACCTTCCCTGCAGAGGACGCACACTCCCCCCAGGCTGTGGGCGGCGACCCTCACGGACTGTCAGGGTCTGTTTCCAGAGGCAGCTGTCAAGTCTGGCAGGTCAGTGATGCGCCCAGTGCTACTCCTGTGGTGGTCCCAGCTGGACCACACTAGGGGCCCAGGCCAGGCACTGGGAAAGGCTCCAAAGGACAGGGCTGTGGCAAGGGCACCAAGCGTGCACCCAGCACCCAGGACCCGGCGAAGGGAGTGAGCGACGGCTGAAACTGGGACAATGGACCCAGAGAGGCCACTGCTCTTCTGGGCAGACCCAGGAATGTCTGCCTGGCCCTGGCCCTGTGCCTATCAGACATGGGCAGAGGGCACCCTCCGCCTCCTCAGGGAGCCTGGCTGAGGTGGGCCGCACCTGCTCAGGGAGAGGGGCAACGGAGGCCTGCGCCTCACCAGAGCAAGCCCCAGACTCTGCCCCCAGCGTCTCGGGGGTGACCTCAAAGTCCCCAGAATTTCCCACCTGATCAAAACGCCAGTTCACCTGGGACCCTGGGCCAGCCTCATGTCCAACAGTACGGTTTACAGAGGGGATTTCAACAACACCCAGAAGGTGAGGTGGGATGGGGGCGTGGGCCACATAGTGCCACTCCACCTGGGGGGCTGTAGGCTGAGGTGGGCCAGTGTGTGCCCACCGCACCTCTGCATGGAGCAGGGCAAAGCAGAACACACAAGATGAGGCCAGAGCAGTTTGTTGGGCCAGAAAGGAAGAAAGCAAGTGCTCAAAACCAAAAGGTGAGCCAGTCCAAGGGAGCAAGAGCCAGGCGCAAGAGCTCCCGGGGCCAAGGCTGGAGCCGGCAGATCAGCAAGCAAGGGGTACCAGAGCAGCACGTGCTGCGGAGCCTTCTCACAGTGAGGTACAGTGAGAAGCCACTGGTCACAAACCCCAAAGAACCTGTGGAGACATTCTGGCTAGAGCAGGGCCCACAGGTCCCCAAGCGTGGGCCACATGGGTAAGAGCCCTCCAGAGAGCAAGTAAGAAAGGGAACCTGACGAGTGGCAGGGAGGCCTCATGCCATGAAAGGGCCGTCAGCTCTGTGGTCCACCAAACCTGCCTACCCATGAGAACGTCCCGAAGACCACCGTCAAGTCACGGAGGAGGGGCTGAGCCTCGGCCATAGGGGACCGAGGGGGCCCAATGCCCTGTGGGATCCTGGGGCAAAATAAAGACGTCAGGCCAGGCACTGTGGTGCACTCCCGTAATCCCAGCGGCTCAGGAGGCTGAGACAGGAGGACCGCAAGTTCAAAGCCAGCCTTAGCAACAGCGAGGCACTAAGCAACTCAGTGAGACCCTGTCTCTAAATAAAATACGAAATAGGGCTGGGATGTGGCTCACTGGGCAAGTACCCCTGAGTTCAATCCCCTGTACCCCGCCCCCCAAAAAAAGATGTCAGGCAAAAATCGGGCATGTGACAACTGTGGGCTTCAGCCGTTGACCAGGTCACGGCCTGGGCCAGCATCCCACACTGGTACCCCACAGCTCGTGTGGACAGTCTTGGCTTTCCCTCTGAAGCTGTAAGGACGCAGCCTGCAGCTCATGCTGACCCGATTTCACACAGGGAGATCAATGCCTCTGACTCCGCAGACACAGATGTGGACTGCCACGCCGGCAGCTCGGGGGAAGAAACAAGGGGCAAAGTGCACAGTGAGAGGCTGTGTCCAGCACAGAACCTGGCCCTCGGCCTGTAGTGGACCAACTCAGCCCTTCCCCTCTGCTGCCCTGATTCTAGAATCAGTCAATCACGCAGACCGTGACCCCCAAGCTCCTTCAAGCAGAGTGAAGGGCAGCTATGTCAGGATCCAGGTACATGCAGCGGCCTGCGAGCCTAGCTCCCCGGAAGCCCTTCAGCAGAAGTAAAGGCTGGCCCTGCCACCCACTCCACACACGTGATTGAGTTCTTGTGGCATCTCATTATTTCTGACGTGTGAGTTCTCAGGTAAACTTTTCTCATTGCCAAACATCTACTTGAATTTGAAAATATTTATGTTTTATTAAGGCATGTAATAAATTATTCTTTGAAACTTGTTGAAGAGAACAAGATTCAAAGCCATGTGGTAAAAGATGGCATACTGGTTGCAAAATAAACAAAAATGACATTGTGATTTTTTTATACCAAGAATTGAACTCAGGGGCACTCAACCACTGAGCCAGATCCCCAGCCCCTTCTTGTGTTTTATTTAGAGACAGGGTCTCATTGAGTTGGTTAGGGCCTCACTAAATTGCTGAGGCTGGCCTTGAACTCTTGATCCTCCTGCCTCAACCTCCTGAGCTGCTGGGATTACAGGCGCCACCACGGCACCTGGCTGCATCTTTCTAATACAATTTTCTAACAATGTAATAAAACACACTAAACTTACATATTCATGTTCTGTTAAAACCACATTTCATTAAAAGTACACTTTCATAGTATGTAATTTACATTTTTTTCCTAATGTGCTTACCTAAATGAAGCAAAGCTACAAATATAGACCTTAATGATTTAAGTTAAATAAACTTCTCTACAACTGCTAAAAAACAGCACCATCAGTTCTCTTTCTGTGCATACCAAATTAGTAAAGACTAACAATTGTGGGCATGTTGTGTGTCACAGTCAATCAGTGGCACTCTCCTTGCCACCGGTGAGGGGACGATGAGCTTCTTTTGGCAGCACCCAGGGCCCCCACTGAGCCACACCCAGCCGGGAGCACTCGGCAATACCAATACCACGTGCTCTGACCCAGTGGTTCCACCTTTAAGATTTATTCTACAAGATCATGTATGTATTGGCAAACACAGGCCTGAAGACACTCGTGGTGGCACCACCCACAAGAGGACCTTCTGTCCTGCTGTTAGAGAGGGCAACAGCTGCGCACAGCCACTCGGGGTTCTACAAGACACAGCCCGCACGCGGGCCCATGTGTGCCTGTGTACTGGAGCAGCAAGACCCGCAGCACCACACAGCCACCCTGACATGTTGCCCGGAGAGGTGACAGGCAGGTCTGCTGCTTGATGGGCCCCCTTCTGGTGTCTCTCTGCATTTTAAACCGTGTGCATGTGACCATTAAAAATAGCACACACAGAATTTTTTAAAATATGTATTTTTTAGTTGTAGATGGACACAATACCTTTATTTTATTTACCTTTGTGTGGTGCTTAGCATCGAACCCGGGGCCTCACCCACGCTAGGCAAGCACTCTACCACTGAGCTACAGCCCCAGTCCCATAGGTAGAATTTTAAAACACTCAAACAAAGCGGCAGCACGGCGGCACCGGGTGACGGATATGGACAGCTTCGTCTGTCCTGGGTCTTCCTGGCAGCGGTTTCCCACCTCCTTGCTGAGGCTGATGTCAAGAAGGGAGGAGGGTCTTGTGCTCATTGAAGGCGCCAAGGTGGAAAGGGTATGCTCGGAAGGTACACAAAGTCACAAGCCAGGAGCCCCTCCCTCCAACTGCAGGGTGGTCTGGCACTGACGTCACCTGAGCCACAAGACCACCAGTGACTACAGCTCATGTCCCAGACAATCGCAGGACAGAGGGCCCTGGAGAGAGGGAAGTCTTTGGAGACAAAGGTGATATGGAAATACCAGGCGGATGGTCAGCAAAATGGCCCCCAGCCAGGGGCTACTCCAGCCCCACAGAGAACAGGAGAAACAGAGTCATCAGCCCCATGTCAGGCATGGAGCCATGGCCTGGCAAGTGCTCCCCACAAACCCCAAAGACACCTGTGGCAGCAAAGTGGCCAAGAGGACAGGCACTGCCCAGAGCCACTCCTCGCTGGGTGGTGGCTTTTACCCACATCTGACCCCTGCCCAGGGATACCAGGGAGCAAGCTGCGATCACAGATGTAGGCAACAGCTGGACACTCTGCCACGGAGAGGACTCACGAGCTCCACCCTCAACACTGGGGCAGGCAAGGGGGCAGCCTGGGAAGATGCCTGGATAGGACCTGTGCTGGCCTTGTCTTTGAACCCATGTTCAGGAACAGAATGCCCTCAAGTGGAGAGGTGGGAGAGGGCGGTAGGTGCCCAGGTCAGCCACAGGTGCAGCCAACCACAGCTGGGCACTAGCAAGCCAGCAACTCCACACCACTGTGCCACAGTGTGTCACCGCATCATCCCCTCCACGCCCCCTTCTAGGCCTCCTGGGCAGTGGGAGGGAGCTGGACAGGAGGCAGGGTCCAGTGACTCTGGAGCAAGGTGGAGCTGCAGAGGGCAGCAGGTATCAGTGACACACTAGCCCAAATTGGCCATCACTCCGCTGAAGCAGCACACTGTATCTTAAACCTATGGCCACCACGAGTGCCCTGGTAGAACGTCCCACGTCCCCATCACAAGGGTCCTGGGCTTTGGGATCTTGTTTGGATAGAAGGTCCTCTACTAGACTGCTGTCCTCACCTCAGAACTTGGCTTTCATGAAAGCAGGAGTGACCTTTTTAAGGAGAAGGGCGGGAAGAACCCAAGGGCACTTAACCACTGAGCTACATCCCCAGCCTTTATATTTTATTTAGAGACAGGGTTTCACTGAGTTGCTTAGGGCCTCACTAAGTTTCTAGGGCTGGCTCTGAACTCATGATCCCCCTGCCTCAGCCTCCTGAGCCACTGGGATTACAGGCATGTCCACCCGCCCAGCTGGAGCAAGGCTTTTATCCACAGGGGAACCACCACCCCAACCCATGAGGCTACTCTCTACCCTGCCAGGATCCCCACCAGGACTAGACTGTCTGAGCCCCAGATTGTCTGGGCATCTAAGCCAAGCTCCCAGGCCCCTCTGTGGGGCACTGCCCTGCCCCCCCCAGTACTTCCCTGAGACCAAATCCTAGCCCCTCAGCCACCTGATGTGTGGGTGACAGCCTCGTTCCCTGCCCCAGCACAGGTGGCAGGAGGAGCACCCCTGCCCAGCACACTGGAGCCCATCCAGGGTTCTCCAGGGTCACAGGAGCGTGGCACCCTCCCCACAGGTCAACCTTGTTGATTAAGATTCCAAACAAATCCAAGGGCAGCAGAGCAGGAGGGACAGGGCCTGGTGCTAGGATGTGGGCTCTGCCTCAGGCCAGTTGGCCACTGTGTCCTCCTGTGGGTCAGCTCCCAGGTGTGCACGGCCTGGACCATTCCTGCTTGGAAATGGCCAAGAACTGCACAGAACTGCCCTGGGGCCAGATGCCACCCATGACAACAGGACCCAGGGCCCTACGCTGCACTCACCAGAGCCCTCCTCCTCATTGTGCCGCCTGTGGCCACAGAGATGGAGCGGGTGACGGGCTTGGCTGTAGAGGCACTGCTAGGACGCCGGGACATGGGCAGAGGGAGGCCAGTCAGACTCAGGTCCACACCTTCCGGGCTGCCCTCAGGGGTACCACTAGTGGCCCGTGAGCCTTTCATGGTGGACATGACAGACCTTAAGAGGGAAACAAGAGATACAGTGAGACACCCGAAAAAAACTGCAGTCCCCTGCAAACACCACCTGCAGCAGAGCCTTGCCAGCTCAAGACACCTGGGTCCACCTGCCACCAAACCCTCCAGGAACCTGACACCCTCCTCACTGGCAGGTGAGCCCCTCAACAGGAATACAAGGGGGCTGTTCTAAACCCCATGCCAGTACAGGGCTGAGCAGGTGCCTCTGGGTGATAGGCAGGTGGACAGCATATTACTACAAGAAAGTGGCTCAGACAAGTGGAGTGCCTTGCTCAGGATCATGGTGCTGGTAGTAAATGGCAGAGCTCTACCATTTACTACCATTTACTACCAGCACCATGATCCTGAGCAAGGCACTCCACTTGTCTGAGCCACTTTCTTCAGTGAAATGGGAATTCTAGAAGTGCCTCTGTGTGGGCACCACAAGGTGTGACCTGGGGCTAGCACAGGGTGTGCACTCAACAACCCAAGTTACTCCAGCAGGATTTGGTCTTGAAAGTCCTAGGACAATAAGCTCAGGGTCCCCAAGCTCTAGGCAAGACCCCCTCAGAGCCCCTGGGCACTCCCTGATCTCTTGGATGAGGCAGCTGCTCTTGTGCTTTCGGGGCACCCTGCCACCCCTTTTCATGTAGGCTGCTCTTAGTCTCCCTTGCTCTTTTCCTCCGAGTTGGAAGCCCCCAGGGCTCAGCCCCAGCTTCTCTTTCCCATCCACCCCTGGCCTCTTGGCTCCCTCCACATCTCAACCCTGGATGGGTCAGACTCCTTGTCTTGGCTCCTGTAACAGCCCCTCCACCTGCCCGGCCCCCTGCTGTCCTCACCGGGCACCTGAGTTTCACAACACCCCCAGCTGGCATTATATCCTGGTGGAAACGGTTTTCCAGGCACAGAGAATCAAACACCCCAGATCTGACCCTGCTCCCTGACACACACCCACCCCCCACCCTGCCCACTCTCATGCTCAGCTGGCCCATCCCAGCATCTCTGCACCTGCTGGCCCTTCTGCCTACCTGACCTTGTCTACCACCCCAACCCTCTTCTTTCCCGTATCCTGCTTCCTCTTCAAACACCACACAAGATTGTTTTCTGAATTGGGTGACTCCCTTGAGAGGACAGGAACCTTGTAGCCACAGTACCTGACACACAGAAAGGGCTCAAGTGGTGAGTGCTGAGGGAATGAGGACCCGAATGTTACATGTGATTACAGTCCCTGTCACTGCATCCGGTGTGCCAAGGGCACAGAGCTATCGTGGGTCCCCCGTTTTCTAGCGGCAGACCTGCCACTGGCCTGGTCAGTGGCCTCAGCTCTGCGTTTCCGGCTTGCCGGTGAAATTTAACACCCCCCCCCCTCGGCACTGGCCACGCCCAGCTGGACACAGCGGACCCTGCTGTCCCAGCCACACGTGCAGCCAGCGAGGCTCCTGGGTAAACACAGCCTCTCCATGGAAACCTCCGGCAGGATGAAGGGAGGCCTGGGAGGCCAACCGCACCCCGGGTGGAAAGGTGTTCCTCGCGGGGCCTGAGGGGTCAGGTCCAGCGTCCCGCCTGGCCCCGCGTGGGGGGGACGCGGGGACGCGCAGGAGTAGGGCCCTTGCGCAGTGCGGCGCCCTCCGCTTCTCCCCGGGCCGCTCCGGTCTCCCCGGTTCCCCTGGGCATAAGGCGGGGTCCTGAGACCCCCGGCCGTACTCCACGTCGCCCTCTGGGGAGGGCGGGAGAGGGCCGCCCGGGGGCACCAGCCCCGTCTCACCTGCAGGGCGAGACTCACCTGCGCGGACACCCCTCACCTGCGCGAGCTGGGCCTGGGGCGCGGGGCCCGCGGACTCGGCCGGGCGGGCGACCTGGCGCCCCGCGGTCCCCAGCGGTGCCCCCGGGCGGGTGACAATGAAGCGCCGTGAGGGCGGGCGAGGGGCCGCGGCTAGCAACCCCTCGGGCACCGCCTCCCCTGCCCGTCACCCGGCCCGCCTTTCCTGCCAGCGTCGCTTTCGGATTGGTCTTCTGGCCTCCCGCTTTGGAATTCTCGGGACCTCATTGGACCACTGGGCTGTCCTTCGGGAGGTTCCAGCGTGGGAGGAGCGGCGGAGGGCTGGGGGCCCGCGACGGCGGCGGGCTGCCGATTGGATGAGGCCGGAAGAGGGCGGAGCTTCTGGGGCGGGGCCAACGCGCCTCTTGATCCCACCCCTGGCCCGGCTCCGTCCCCTGGTGCACGGAAGGCGCGCGTTAGGCCGGGAGTGCGTCCCCGTGCTGCGTGGTCCCAGCCCTCGCCCCGCTCTGGCTCTCCTGACTCTGCCCAGGGAACCCTGGACATACAGATCGGATGCCCTCTTCAACAAAAGTTGTATTACAGTAACAACATAGTGCTGGCCTCTCCACATACCTTTTATATTAATATATATATAATTTTTTTTTTTGGTACCAGGGACTGAACTCAGGGGCACTTGCCCACTGAGCCCTATCCCAGCCCTATGTTGTATTTTATTTAGAGACAGGGTCTCACTGAGTTAGCGCCTCGCTAAATTGCGGAGGCTGGCTTTGAACTCCTGCCTCCGCCTCCCTAGCCGCTGGGATTACAGGTATATGTATATTTTTTTATTGTTGTTGTTGTCGTCGATGAGCCTTTATTTTATTTATAGGCGGTGCTGAGAATCGAACCCTCACACATGCTAGGCAAGCGTTCTACCACTGAGCTATAACCTCCACCCCCACCTTTTTTTCCCCTTAAACACCTTTATTATTTTATTCTTTTAAAAAAGGTTTGAACGGGGCAAGTAGACCATGCCTGTAATCCCAGATGCTGGGGAGGCTGAGGCAAGAAGATTGCAAATAGAGACCAGCCTCAGCATCTTAGCAAGGCCCTGAGCAATTTAGAGAGAACCTGTCTCAAAATTAAAAAAAAGAAAGAAAGAAAAGAGGTTTGAAGCTGGGAGCATTAATGGTGCAGGCCTATAATCCTGGGGACTCGGGAAGCTGAGGCAAGAGTATTACAAGTTCAAGGCCAGCCTGGAAAACTTTTTTTTTTTTTTTTTTTTTTTTGTGGTGCTGGGGATTGAACCCAGGGCCTTGTGCATGAAAGGTAAGCACTCTACCAACTGAGCTATGTCCCCAGCCCCCAGCCTGGAAAACTTAATGAGGCCGTGTCTCAAAATAAAAACCAAAAGGGCTGTGAATGTAGCTCAGTGGTTGTTTGCCTGGGTTCATTCCCCAGGACTGCAATAAATAAGTAAATAAAATAGAAGAGTTGGTTTATACATAGTAAAATTCACGGTGTTGGCCGTGTGAGTTGTGTAACCACCTCTGCAACCCAGGTGCAAAACACTCTTCCACCCACACGTGTGTGTGTGTGTGTGTGTGTGTGTGTTTGGAGTGGATCGGAATGTCCTCTAAGCTGGTGTGCTGAAGGCGTGGTCCTCGGTGCTGCAGTGTCCTGAGGTGGGCCTTCAGGGGGTAACGGGATCAGGAGGTCAGAGCTCACACTGATGGGTGCGTAGACTACTGGGCTGTAGCAAGGCTGCATGTCACTGGGTGTGTGCCCTGCAAGGGTACTTTTTGCTGGGGCTCCTGCTCCCTCTCTCCCACTCCCTCTCCTCCCTCTCCTCAGGCCCAACACACTGCAGCCAGCCAGCCATGGGTGGAGAGCTCTGAAACTGAGCTACAACAGAAGTTGTTATTCTTGGGTATTTGTCCCCGTGATGAAAAGCTGACTTAGAACTGGACCTCCTCACTGCCAAACCCTCCCCGCCCTCAGGCAGCTTCAAGGTCATGGTGTAGCCTTGGGCCTGGTTCTCCCCCTGGTGTGGGACAGCCCTCTGCTCCTGGCAGCAGTGCTCAAGCCACAGGCAAGCCCAGCTGTCACCTTGTTCTTCAACCTTAGGACCCAGCCTCAATCCCAGCACTGCCACTGAAGCAGTGGCTCTAGACTAGCTTAGACTGAGTGGAGGTGGCTTCTGTTTCGGTGAGTGCTGGGAGGGGCTTGTGGGTCGGGTACTGGGTGCTTGTAAGCTACCAGAATGTTCCACAAGCTTGCAGCTCCACACTCCTGCAGCCCTCTGGGCCCCTTGCTGCCAGGGTTCCTCCTCTACAGTCCCAGTGACAGGCAGGTCGTGGGAGCCCACACAGCCTTCAGGACCCTTCCTGATGATCAGGGGCGTTGAGAATCCACTCCTGACACGTGCGCCTTGTGTTCACACAGATCCTTTGGGGACATATCTGTTCACATATTGTGTTCACTTTGTAACGTGGGTCCTTTTTCTCAGTTTTGAGTGTTCCTTACAAGGTCTTTATATCAGTCCTTCATAGGAGACAGGTGACCTGAAAATATCTTCTCTGTCTCTGTTCATTCCCTTAACTGTCAAAAGAAGTTTTGTTTTTGTAGTTTTTTGGTAGGTAGTAGAAATTGAACCCTCATGTATGCAAAGCAAGTGCTCTGCCACTGACCCACAACCCCTGCCCTTTTATTTTGAAATAGGGTTTAAGTTGCTGGGGGTCTTGCTAAATTGCCTGGGCTCCTCGTGCCTCAACCTCCCAAGTAGCTAGGATTACAGGTGTGTACCACAACACCTGGCTAAAGAGTTTTTTTTTAATCATTCTTTTTTTTTAATATTCATTTCTTTCATGTACACAATGCCTTTATTTTATTTTTATGTGGTGCTGAGATCGAACCCAGGGCCTTGCACACACTGAGCGCTCTACTACTGAGCCACAACCCCAGCCCCAAGTTTTTTTTTTTTTTAACTTTAATAATAAAGTCCTTTTTCTATCTCATAACACTATTGCTTAACCAAACCACAGAAACTTCTGTTTTCTTCTGGAAGCTTGACAGTTTTGCTTCATGTTGAGACCTATGGTTCCGTTTAAACTACAGGTAAGGTGTGAGGTATGGGCCAAGATTTGTTTTTTATTCCTTTTTCCACATGCAGATGTCTGCTGTTTAGCACTGTCTTAAAGGCTGCCCCTTCTTCAGGGCCAGTCACTTTTGCAGAAGACGGATGGTCTACATGTGCTGGTCCATTGATCAGCATCTACCTTGTGGCCAACACCAGCCTCAGCTGTGCTGAGATCAGTTACTGGTGTGTTCTTATTCAAGATCACCTCAGCTATTCTAATTCCTTTGATTTTCACTGTTTGTCACTATATCTTAAAAAATCCAGCAGAAGGACCTGGGGCACAGCTCTGTGGTAGAGCACTTGCTTGGCAGGTGAGTCCCTGGGTTCCATCCCAGCTGAGACTTGACGGGGTCACCTGAAGCCTGCAGGTCTCTGGTTCAGAAGCAGGGATCCCTTCATCGATGCTGGTGCTCATCTCCTCTGCTTGACATCTCTCATCGCAGGCAGAGTGATGTGACCACCACCAGGATCGAGGTGTGAATGGACACAGTAAGGTTCGTGGCAAGGATGGGGCCACTTGGCAGTTGTGCCAAACAGTTACTAACAGCCGCCCTACGTTAAGAAATCCTCAGAGCGAGCGGGACGGGACAATGCACACCTGTAATCCCAATAGCTCGGAAGGCTGAGGCAGGAGGATGGCGAGTTCAAAGCCAGCCTCAGCAACTTAAGCAACTCAGGGAGACCGTCTTTAAATAAAATATAAATAAGGGCTGAGGATGTGGTTCAGTACCCCTGAGTTTGATCCCTAATAACCCCCCCCCAAAAAAAAAAGAAATCCTCAAAGTGTGTTCTTACTAATGGTGTCTTCATTAAAATGTACACATGCAGAAGAAAGGGGGAAAAAGTGGCCCAACTGCATATAACAGTAGTGTTTTTATTCAGAGTGTAGACCCCAGCACTCTGGCAGCTCACGTGGGATGGGCAGGAGCACTCCATCTCTCCCATGCAGTCTGCAGGAGGCAGCTGGGGCCAAGGGGAGCAGCACGAGGCCGGGGCAGGGCACCCAGGAACCAGGCCTGCTGCACCCATGGGCACCACACCAGCCTCACCAGCACCCAACCCCACAAGGCAGTGGGCTCTGGCCACTGTGGCCTTTCTGAGAAGGATCTGAGGTCGGGACCAAAACAAAGAAAGAACCAAAGTAAGAACTTGCTCCCAAGTCCAACCCTCGACTCTGAAGGCATGGCTGCTCCTGGACCCCAAGGCCAGCACCTGAAACCCTGTCTGCCACTACAGGAATTCAAGCCCAAGTAGCCAGCATCCAGCCAAGGAGGCAGATGGACAAGACTGAGATAGCCCTGGGGTACTCTTCTCTGGTCAGGTTGCCTGGAGACTGGCCAGTAGCCTTCAGGAAGCATTAGTTTGCAGACGCACTGGCCAAAACCCCAAGACGACAGGTGGCCCCCAGCCACCCAGACCCTTGAGAAGGCATGTGTGGGTCCTATCCTGCAGGGGCATGGCTGGGGAACTGGCCTGGAGGGCAGGCGTCACAGATGACTGGTGGGGGCACCAGATAAACCTGCTCTTCAGCACGTGCGCCCTGTCCTGGCCGGTCTGGGGCATGTAGAGGTGCCGCACAGGCTCCATTAGTGGCTGTCCACACCAAGGCCCCAGTGGGTGAGGGTGAGGCCAGAAAGGTGCAAGGAAACTGCCAGCAGACCCCTAGGAGAACCATGCCTTGACGGGCAGGAGGCCACAGGGTCCTGGGAGCCACCAGCTGAGAACAAGGAAACCAGATGCCAGGTCCACCTGGTCACACATTTAAGAACGGGAAAGCTGAGGGCTCGGAGCCCACAGGCTCTGCAACCATTGCCTTCTGGGCCCGTGCCTGGGGAGGCTGGGCTGGGTGGGGCGCCTCTATAGAAGCCCTGGTGCCACCCAGGTGGGGGCAGGCCACCAACTCCATGCCAGCAAACAAGGAGCCACGACAGCGACTAGGGCCTCTTTTTGGGGTGTCTGGGCCCTGCTCTCTAGACACTGCCAGAGAAGTTTCAGCCTCATTGGTGTCTCCAGGGATTGGGAGGGGACAGGAG